GACATCCAGAATGCCTGTGTATCCTGTTCTAAAATCCTACTATTTTGATATGGTTTCTGAAAAGGATTGGAGTTCTTAAGCCTCTAGTCAAGGTGTGAACACCAGTTGCATAAGGCAAAGACATCCCTGACCTGTCAATGTCCCCTGGTGCATGCAGAAACAGAAATGTATTTGACACTAAGGAAACCATGCTGATGTGAACAGCTAGTGGGGAAAAACTGTGAAACACGCTGGGGTGGGTAGGGAACCTTGACTGAGCTCTAAGACATTAAGGTTTAAACATCCTAATACTTCGGGGGTAACCAATGTGGTGCCCTCCAGATGTTAGTGAAGGAAAACTCCCATCATCCCTGACTGTTGGCCATGTTGGCTGCGACTGGTGGGAATTGTGTAGCCCAGCAAGATGTGGCGGCCATTGCTGCGCAATTTCCAGAGGTGTCTACTGGATCATGTGTGTGGCATTTTTAATGATGTGTGAATGACACAACTCTTCTCTTCTTCTACCTCACCATGCCACACACATTTAAAAAAACTTTCTTGATGTACCACCCAAGCATGGGATTGTTCTTTGAGCCCCCCAACTCGCGGCAAACTTGAGTCAAGCTAGCTCCCCCCTTTCTTGACAGCAGTGTCCTGTTCCTCATACCACAACCCCAAGCATGCTCACTGGGAACTAATTTCCACTGGGGTCAGAAAAATTTACTCCCAAGTAGAGCTATTTAGGAGGCTCAGGCCCACAGGTGCACTTTCGTGAGCAGAAGACCTCTTTCTGACTTAGTGAAATATTATTGTGTGAGAAAAGACAAAAAGCATAGTCTGTCCATATACTGTATATATTTATTTACATATTATTTTTTTGTCTGTATAATTCTAAGCACCATATAATGGGTTCCTTCGTGGTCTCCCATATGGGCACCTCAGCAGACCTGCCAAGTGTCCCTATTTTTCAGCGACAGTCCCAGATTAACAGAAGCCATCCCAGTTTCTGGTCTGACCCCAGAATGACCTGTTTTTCCTTAATACGTTCCAATTTTTATTGGATACATGTTAGAGCATATGTAGTTCTGTGACCCCCGAGCCAAGGAGATAAGTAACTATACAACATTTAGAAAAAATCTGAAGGCGGGTTGGTTGGTAATGCTTAATGTTTAATGATGTTTTTGTATAAATTGTATAAACTGCCCAGAGTGGCTTGGGCAACCCAGTCAGAATAATAATAATAATAATAATAATAATAATAATAATAATAGGACATTTCTATTTTCATGGGGAGGGACGCCCCCGGCCTCTTGAGTGAGATGGGCGCACAAACCTAGAGTCTGTCAAGACTGGCCCATACGGGCAGGGGTACCTTTACCTTTTACCTATTTTCATGGGGAAACTGTTGGAGGGTATAAGACAGGTATAGGAGACAGCTAGTGCTCAGTAGGTGCAGGAACAACTACAGCAGGAATCCAAATAGGCACATTTTGCATATTTATCAAAAGTGGAACATGGAAGAAAAGTCATATGAAAAAACCTAGTAGTGTCACTTAATAGGAGCAGTGCTTGTGGCTGCTAGTTTTCTCAGGGCCCAGGGTTATTGGGTCACAAGGTTCATTGTGACACCTCCCTCTGCTGGCTCATTGGTCACCAGAGCTCTAGAAGGCCTGGGGATCTCCTATGGTGGGGTCATGTTGTGCAGATGCCTGATGATTGTCTTCCAAAGCAACTACTCTATTCCAAACTTAAAAATGGAAAGCGTAATCCTGGTGGTCAACAAAAGAGGTTTAAAGACTGTCTCAAGGCAAATCTGAAAAAATGTAGTATAAACACTGACAACTGGGAAACACTGGCCTGCGAGTGCTCCAGTTGGAGAACAGCCTTGACCAAAGGTGTCATGGGCTTTGAAGACACTCGAACTCAGGACGCAAGGGAGAAACGTGCTAAGAGGAAGGCATGCTTGGCAAACCCACACAGTGATCAACTCCTGCCCAGGAACCAATGTCCCCGCTGTGGAAGGACATGTGGATCCAGAATAGGCCTCCACAGTCACTTACAAACTCATTGTTAAAATACATGTTTATGGAAGACAATCTTGATCGCCAAAGAAGAGACATGTACCGTAAGTAGGATTTCTCTCAGCATCTGCATTCTGTGATGATAGTGAATTCCTCTTGAGCTTACCTGCGTGTTTTTTTCCCTGCCAGCAAACAGTCAACTAGCAGCAGCTCCTGACTGGCCAGAGTTCCAAGGGAGGCAGGTGGAGTGGAGTGAGAGATAGTGTGAGAGATTCATGGGGTCTGGGAGTGGGATTCTCTCAGGAAAGTTTGTTCTGACGGGGTAGGGCTGAAGAGAGCTGAGAACTCACAGTATATGCTCTAAGGTTCTGAACTGCAGAACACTGTTAAAAATAGAAAAGACATAGTCCCACATGATATTTACAGAAAAATGGTCCTCAGAGGGAATACTCTGACAGGAAAGGGCAGTAGTGATTCTGAAGCAAAGGAGGATTTGGGGGTCTATAAGGAAACAGTCGGGAAGCGGGTGGTGCTGTGGGTTAAACCACAGAGCCTAGGACTTGCCAATCAGAAGGTCGGTGGTTCGAATCCCTGCAACGGGGTGAGCTCCCGTTGCTCGGTCCCTGCTCCTGCCAACCTAGCAGTTTGAAAGCACGTCAAAGTGCAAGTAGATAAATAGGTACCTCTCTGGCGGGAAGGTAAACGGCGTTTCCGTGTGCAGCTCTGGTTTGCCAGAAGCGGTTTAGTCGTGCTGGCCACATGACCCGAAAGCGGTACGCTGGCTCCCTTGGCCAATAAAGCGAGATGAGCAACGTAACCCCAGAGTCGGTCACGACTGGACCTAATGGTCAGGGGTCGCTTTATCTTTACCTTTAAGAAAACAGTCCAATTAAAATCCTAAATTCCTGAAGTGTGTGTAGAGAAGTCTGATCTATGGAAGATGTGTAAAAGAAAGTAACCTTAAGCCTGCAGCATACAGCCTATAACTTGAAACCGTATTCATTTTAGTAAAAAGCAACAGCACTGTTTGTTACATTTAGGTGGGAGAAGAAGGACCAAAACTCCTTGTTTACATCTGTTATAATAAAGTTTGTTTTCAACCTGTTTTCACAAAGAAAAAAATCCACTGTCGCTCGTGATTCATTCTCCATTTGGGTATTTCACCTGAGGGAAAGGGAAACAGAGGACTGGCCCAGTGGCGCCAGGAAGAGAAAGTGCCATTGCGCCATTGCACATGTCAGAGGAGCTCAAGAAAACCCCAGGAAAACATGAAGGTAATGTCTATTTCCAAGGATATGTTCAGTGTATATAAGAAAGTCTCTAAAACAGTTATAATTGCTACCCTTCTCTTTTTCACTGAGATGACATCATCCTAGAAGACGTGGAGGAAGAGCAGGGGCCTTGAAGTTGTCCATCAACTGTGAGCAGAAGGACAGCAGACTGAGAAGACAAACTGGTCACCTAGTCAAAGTCTTCCCTGCTAGCCTGATACCCTCTCTTCTTTCTCTTCCAATAAAAAATTCAGGAACAATCAGCCAAAGAATGGCAGTAGGGATGATAATTTAGGTGAACTGCTTTCCTCTCATGTGATACTTCCTAGTAAAGGTTCGGGGTGAGGGGCCATGGAACTCCTTGGAAATTGTGGAAGGACTGTACCTCGGGGGTAGGCAGTCTGATTGACATACAGAAAGCCACAGATTCGATTCCCATCATCTCTGGATAAGACCAGAGGAAGCTGTCTTGTAGTTCCAGGATCAAATCAGAAACCGGGGTGGCTCCTCTAAATCTGGGACTGTCCCTGGAAAAGAGGGATACTTGGAGGGTCTGGAATCTCTCCTAGCTCTGCTTAGAGATGCTGGGGTTTTATTTATTTATTTTTCCAAAAAAATTATTAGTTTTCACAATATTATAAACAAACAAACAAACAAACAAGACAAACAAACATAAATCATAGCCTTATTGAAAATTTCACTTATTAACTTTGTTAAGTGACTTCCTCACTTCCCCTTGGTTGAATTTCATTGCATGTCCTTTTAACGGTTTTCCAAATCCCAATTCTTATGAAATTTAACTTAAACATTAACATCCTTAAATCTTCACCTTTGGGAATTAAACATATTAATTCATCACTTAACATAAATAAAATCCTAAGCCAATTAAGTATCTGCAAGCTATTTTCAGTTAATTTAACTTCACAAATTTAACTAGATAATCATTAAATTTATTCCACTCTTCCTGATACTCCTCCTCCTTCTGGTCCTGGACTCTTCCGGTTAGGTCGGCTAGCTCCGAAAAATCCATCATCTTCATCTGCCATTCTTCTATTGTTGGTAATTCTTGGGTTTTCCACTTTTTAGCTAACAAAATACGAAAATTGTGTGAGATGCTGGGGTTTTTAAAACCTGGGATGTTTTGCATGCCAAACGGGTGAGGGGACTGTCCCCTGCCTGAAATGGTGGACAGCCACTGTCAGTCTCTGCAGAGCTAGGTGGGGCAAGGGCATGATTGAGTGCAAGGCAGCTTCCTAAGTTTCTAACTCATTTTGTCCAGAGTGGCTGTTTCCACCAGCCGTTGAGATAAGCCTTGTGTCTGGCACACGGCAGGCATGGTTTTCCCTTCCACTAGGGAATGAGAAATCTATGGAATGCATGAAAAGAGAAGTGGGAGGGAGGTCAGTGGTACTGGAAGGTGATACTTTTCTCAGTTGAAGCAGGTCACACGCCTACGGAGGCTTGAATGGTGCTTGCTGGCTCTTTCTCCATCAGTACCTTTTTGTTCCTTGCCTGGGATTTGCTGGGCAGTTACATGCCTCCTCGCCTGGCTCCATGCAGAGCCCATGGGAATTTGGACAGGGTGGTACAGACATCGCCGACAGAGACCACGATCGCTGACTATCCCTTTCAGTGAGGTCTTATGACTAACACCCCACTTCTTGATATATTAAAGAAGCGGGTAGACCCAACACACGACACCGGTCTCGGCTGAAACAAAGAGAAAGGCATTGCACTGCAATCCGAAGGAAACTGCGGTGAGTAAGTCTTCGGAGCTTATTTGCTCGCTAGAGAAAAGGGCCGCGGTGGTAGACGTCTGTGTGTAAAATTCTGGAATGAAACAAGACATCGTGTTTAACCACTGAGGCTGTTTAAATCTAGCTGGTGAGTCTGTTTTGTTCATTTGCCTAGGAAGATTTAAAAGTAATATGCATTAGACGTTCTTGTTCGGTCTATAGCTGAAAAATAGCTACCTGTTCTATAACTTTGTCTAGCTTAAGGACTTTTAATAGACTTTTATCATGCACATACCAAAGTTCAGTAATAGTGAACATTTTTCCTGTTTTGTATCTCTTGTTTTCTAGGATCAATATAGCAAAAACAACTTTCTCTCTCACGCACACATACAACTTTCTTTGTACCATTTTTTTAAAAAAAAATCATATTTAATATCTTGCCACTGTGTACAACCTGACTGACTAGACATTCTGGCCAACGTTCCTTATACCTGATACATGGAATGAAGCAAGAACCCTTTTGCCATTACAGATGTTACATTATATGTCCAGCATGGCATTTTATAATCAGTAGCCTGGTACTCACAGGTGACCAGAAATTCCATGCAGGCGAATGAGTGGACTGATGGAGAAGGATGGACCACCTGCCCGTTCTCAAGTGGGCTGCAAGAGGAAGGATGCTTCCTCCTTTCCTTTTTTTAAAAAAAATAAATATTCAGTTTTTATTAGTTCTCATACATATATCATACATTATTCAACTTAACCAAACAATCGTTTTGTAAATTCCCCTCTCCCCCTTGGCTTCCCTCCATTTCCATTTCTGGTTTGTTAAACCACTTGTTGCATTCTGCTGCTTATATATAGTAGTATATTATCACATTGTTATCTTTCGTGTTCTCTCTAATTACATTATATATGTTTATTTTAAACCCTGCCAAAGAATCCATGCTTTTACATTGTTTCTGCAAATATGTTACAAAAGGTTCCCATTCTTTTCCAAAGTCACTATTATCTTTTTCACGCAGTTTATCTGTCAATTTTGCTAAGTCTGCATATTCCATCAACTTTTCATGCCATTGTTCTTTGGATGGTATTCCTCCCATCTTCCAGTTTTGTGCCATTAAAATTCTTGCTGCTGTTGTCGCATACATAAATAGTGTCCTCATTTCTTTCTTCACATCTTGTCCTAAAATACCCAACGGAAAAGCTTCTGGTTTCTTTACAAATGTTGTTTTAAAAGATGCTCTCTCCTTTCCAACCGGCACAGAAACACAACTCTCCACCTTTCCACTGCCAGCCCCTGACAGGCTAGTAAGACTTTTTGCAGGCTAGTAGCTTTAGTGGGATACTCGATTGTCATTTCTGTTGGTGACTGACTATCCCCATTGTTGGTTGCTATGCAGACTTGAGACCATCTTTCGGCAGATCTGCCTTCATGCTGCCCTTTTCCATCACTACCCTCCTTCTGTCGCTTGGTTCCTCGAACGTTGGAGGCTGCGAGCACAACCATGAACCACAGAACCTGAACACGGAGTTTGCCCTCGCTCTCTACCAACGCTGGGCAGAGCGCAACCACGGAACCAACCTCGCCATTTCCCCAGTGAGCGTGTCTCTTTCTTTGGGGCTTCTGCAGTTTGGGGCACAAGGGAGGACACTGGCCCAACTGCAGCATGCTCTGGGATACAGCACTCAGGGTAAGGCAACCTTCTGAGAAACAGCTTTTCGGTGAGCAGCGCAGGCTGTCGTAAGCTTCGCCTTACAGCTTGGACTGTCCTGGTAGGCAGAGCATATGAAAACAAAAGCAAGTCATCTAAGGGGACTTACTTCTGGGTTAACCCCCTTTCATGCCATGTTCTTCACTTCAATGGGCTTTACATGTGCATGCTACACCTTTCAAGAACATTCTTTCCCCCAAAGAGTTCTGGGCACTGAAGTTTACTCCTCACAGAGTTGCCAGTTTCAGCAACAATGAATGAACTGCAGTGCCCAGAATTCTTTAAGGAAAGAATGTGCCTCAGGTAGCCTTATGGTTATAAACTGGCCATCATAAATATGGATTTTACCACTACAGATACAGTGGTACCTCGCAAGACGAATGCCTCGCAAGACGGAAAACTCGCAAGACGAAAGGGTTTTTGGGTTTTGAGTTGCTTCGCAAGACGATTTTCCCTATGGGCTTGCTTCGCAAGACGGAAACGTCTTGCAAGTTTGTTTCCTTTTTCTTAAAACCGTTAATACAGTTGCGACTTGACTTCGAGGAGCAACTCATAGCACGTGGTGTGGTAGCCTTTTTTGAGGTTTTTGAAGACTTTGGTGATTTTTGAAGCTTTTCCAAAACTTTTCCGAAACCGTGCTTCGCAAGACGAAAAAAATCGCAAGACGAAAAAACTCGCGGAACGAATTAATTTCGTCTTGCAAGGCACCACTGTATGCATGAATATCTCATAGTAACTAAGATTATAAGGCATGGTAAACAAATAAGAACTAATCATAGCCGGGAGAGCAGGGGGGTAGCTGCCCACCTAAATCAAGTAAATAAATAAAAATACTTCACTAACTGACCAATTGTGCCACTGATATCTTAGTTCTGCCCCCTCCAACATAAATCCTGCCCCCCTAACATAAATCCTGGCTATGCCCATGAGCAGGAGATCCGAAGGATGCAATAGATAGTTAGGAAGCAGTGCTTTTTTCGGGGGGGGGACGTATACCCCTAAACATTTTGTGAATCGTTGTACTTTTGTCTATTTACCGTATTTATTTTTCCCAGTTCGAAACCACAAAATGGTGATTTTCTTGAGTCAAAATGAGAGTACCCCTAAACATTCTTTTAGAAAGAAGGCCCTGGTTAGGCGGAACACTGCCTCACTCCTTGAAATGGTCTTCTAAGGGCATTTTTCATCCCACTGTTTGTCCACTGTTTAAGAGATTGATAACCCCAATAAATTACTTTGTTCCTAGATCAGGACGTTCAAGACTTCCTGCACACTGTGTACAGAGAAGTGACCAACTCAAGCCAAAGCCCTGTCGTAGCACAGCTGGCGTGTGCCCTCTTTGTCCAAGCCGGAACGCATCTTTTGCCGCCGTTTGTTCAGCACGCCGCACTCTGGGCAAACAACACAGTACACCAGGCTAACTTCAGTGAGCCTAACAGGACCGCGGCTCAGATAAAGGAATGGTTTGCCACAAGCACTGGAGGTAAAGTGACAACACTCCCCCCCCCCCAGTTGTGCCATGCAGTTTTTAAATGCAGAACTTTACCACCAGGACTTTGAGATGTCAGCTAAGCAGACTGCAGGACACCTTCGGTCTGGAACCCAGGTTGATAAGAAGCACACTGCAGAAAAAAGGGAACAGCTGCTATCATGGTAGAAATATGAGAAGCTGCCTTGTACCGAATCAGACCACTGGTCCATCTAGCCTCAGTATTGTCTACACTGGTAGGCAGCACCTTTGCATGGTTTTAGGCAAGCTTCTCTCCCACCCGTATGTCCACAACTCTATTTGAATAGACTAAAACCAAACAGGAAATCTCATCTATTTCTGAATATCCTTTTCAAATACAAGTGATCACTGTGACCTTTGCTACAGGATTAGCCTGTGTTATGTACTGAGTTGAATAGGATCCAAACTGCAGCAGTCTGATTGGTCCTAGAACAATAGGATCCAAATTGCAGCAGTCTGATTGGTCCTAGAACAATAGGATTCAGAATGCAGCAGTCTGATTGGTCCTAGAACAATGCAGCAGTATGATTGGTTGGCAGGAACCACCCAATCATGCTCCAGATATAAGTGAATCCACAACCTGATTGGCTTACAGTAGAATTCCGGAATTAGCCAATCATGTGCAGCCCATTGTGTAAATAATGTATATAAAGCAGATACTTTGAGGGGACTTTCATTCATTCTTTCTCACCACTATGAGCTGAATAAAGAGCATGAAATCACTTTGCGACTCTGAGTATATTTCAGCCTGAATGACTATTCTCTTATTTCCTTTGCAGATGGAGAAACAAGTTACCTATCTTTGGAAACTCTTGATTCCCCGCTTAACCAGATAGCTGTGGTGAGCGTGATGTCCTTCAAAAGCACTTGGCAAAGGAAATTCACCTTCACAGATACTCAGACCTTGTCCTTTACAACCACAGAGGGCCTCATCCTGAAAGTGCCTACTATGTATCTCAGCGCAGAAGTCAACTATGGTAATTATATTGGGGATGGATACAAACCACACAGACTGTCCACATGCAGTTTCTTCGCTGAAGTAATCTGCAATGCATATAGAGTATCATAGAATCGTAGAATTGTAGCGTTGGAAGGGACCCCAAGGGTCATCTAGTCCAGCCCCCTGCAATGCAGGAATCTCAGCTAAAGCATCCATGACAGATGGCCGTCCAGCCTCTGCTTAAAAACCTCCAAGGAAGGAGAAAACAATGGTGAGAGCTGTGCTCCTCTGCCAGTTTCCTCTGCAACAGCAGAGGCGTGTGTTTTTGCTTATTGAGATCTAATGGATCCAGAGCCTTAAAAATCAGGCCTATTTGACAGCCAAAAGCTTTTATACTGACACCCAAGGTGAGGTACAAACTGATGCAAATGATGGATATGTTGCAAAGCTATTATCTTGCATCTGTCATTGTGAATATATATGTTGATGCTTGATTGGAAACTTTGTAGTTTGGTTTAAAGGAGACAGAGAAAACCGCGCTCCACGTTTTCCCCCTTCCCTGGTCTGGCTTGCAGTTGCAGCACTGAGCTTTTAGGGAAATAACTAAGCCTCACTTGCTCTGAGGGACACAGGTGGCCACAGAGCCTAGGATTTGCTGATCAGAAGGTTGGCGGTTCGAATCCCCACGATGGGGTGAGCTCCCCTTGCTCGGTCCCTGCTCCTGTCTACTTAGCAGTTCAAAAGCACTTCAAAGTGCAAGTAGATACCGTATTTTTCGCCCTGTAGGGTGCACAGGCCCATAGGACGCACCTCCTTTTTTGGGGGGAGGAATGAATAAAAAAAATTATTTTTCCCCCCAAGCCGCGGGGCTGGGGCGGGGGAAGCCCGAGCTTCCCCCGACCCCAGCCCCCAGAACAGGCTGCTATCCGCAAGCCTTGCGAGCCCAGCGGCAACTCCCGCCGGGCGTGCAAGGCTTGCGGACACCTGTGGGAAGCACGGGGCGTCCTCCGGAGGGCGCCCTGTGCTTCGGGCTGCAGGCTGCTGCCCGCAAGCCTTGAGAGCCCGCGGGAACTCCCGCTGGGCTCACAAGGCTTGCAGATAGCTTCCTGAAGCCTGGAGAGTGAGAGGGGTCGGTGCGCACCGACGCCTCTCGCTCTCCAGGCTTCAGCGAAAGCCTGCATTCGCCCCATAAGACGCACACACATTTCCCCTTCATTTTTGGAGGGGGAAAAGTGCGTCCTATAGGGTGAAAAATACGGTAAATAGGTACTGCTCCAGCGGGAAGGTAAACGGTGTTTCCGTGTGCTGCTCTGGTTCACCAGAAGCAGCTTAGTCATGCTGGCCACATGACCCAGAAAAACTGTCTGCCTCCCTCAGCCAATAACGGTCAGGGGTCCCTTTACCTTTACACTTACTCTGGGAGCAACCACTTCTACCTTTCAGGAAAGAGCTGTCACCCTCAGAGTAAACAAGAGCTGCCTGTTTCTCAAAAAACCTACTATGCTTGCCACACAACTGTATGAGTTGTGCATCGGCTTCACCCTGAATTGGTTTCATGACCTGTAGCGATGTCCTGAAACTCAGAATCCCATTGCCAGAAGACCTTTGAAAAAGCCAAAAAGGCAGAGAAGCAGCTACAAAAGCAGAATGCAGGCACGGAAATGCCAGCGTTATATTATTTTTGTTGCGGTCATGACTACAAAAGTGCTTTCCGATTAACCTTAACCGCTGAGTCACTTGAATAGTCCTAAACAAACATTTCCCCCCCCAAAACACAGGTGAATTCCTACTGGACTCTCTGGAGCGGGTCAGTGTGGTTGAATTGCCCTATCTGGGGGAGGCAGTCAGTATGTTTGTGGTGCTTCCATCTGACAGGAGAACACCTATAGCTGAGATTGAGAGATACCTTTCAGCCCGAAATTTCCCGCTGTGGTCCAACAGTCTGAGAAGAACAAAGATGGACCTATTTCTCCCCAGGTAAAGGTTATATGTACACACATTTGCCTGGCCTTTGTGGAATTTGATCTTTGGTTGTGGAGAGCTGTTGCGTTTGCAAAGTAAAGGAAGGATTGAACCCTGCTTAATAAGAATACGCACAGAGGCTTGGACCAGCAAGACTCTGGGAAGGGTGCGTATAATCGTGTCTCTCTGTGCTTGTCCGTCTCTCCAGCCCCCTGGCCCAGGTAGTTTTTATTCACAAAAGAACTTTTTACAGAGCGTTCGAAAGAACCAATCAGGTTTCTTCTGAGCATTTACACAAACCCACGTGGGGAGAAAGTTAGATCAAAAGAAATTCTTTTAACTACAAAGACTACTACTCTGAGCATGCATACATAAACTGAGAGTAAATAAAAGAGGACTAGAGAAACTCCAGAGATCACAAACAGGAGTAAACAAGAGAGGATGGAAGGATGGCAAGGAGATAGGCAACTTTATCACCTTCCTGTGAAACTATTTCCAGGCCCTAAGATTAACACCCTAAGATTAATATACATCAAAGAAACTTGCCCCCTATCTTTGAGGACCCCGGACGCCTGCCTGTCTCAGCAACTGGGCTGTGTACGTGACAAGAGAAATGGCCAGTAGAGGAAATGGCCAGAGATGCAGAGGTGTAGACTGATCAAGAATCATATAAAAATAGTTTAAACCCAGTCAACGCAATGCTTTCATTGCTGACACAGATGGCTTACCCTATATTTGTTATAATTCCTCATAGCAATCCCACCTGATCACTACATCTCTGGATATTTGCACTCCTACAGAGAGCGGAGGCGTGGGTATGCGTGAACACAACTGTAGGGGTAGACAACATTATTATGAACAGGAAATGAGGACTAAAGTTGGGGTGGCTGGAATTGTAAAAGAACAGAGGAGAAGAAAACTAGCTTTTATGAGAGTCAGTTGGGGTGAGAGGAGAAGGGAAACAAGTAGAAGTGTAATGCACATAAGCCAGAATCTCTCTAAGGCTTTCCTAAGGGCTCCTTTAGTTTCAAACCATTTATCAGACTTACAAGATGGGTTTTAGATTAGGAACAGGTTTAGAAAACTGGCACATGAAATGCTTTTGCATTCTCAGAGTTGAGGCAAAGAGCAATAAATAAGCTGCGCAGACGAAATGTAATGCTCCCGTATTTTACCTCAGCAACATTGGTAAACTAGTCATAATGCAAGTAATTTCCACATTATAGAAGCCAACTCAGAATACAAATGATCCATAGGAGCCTTGTCAGAAAGTAACTGGAATGCTTCATGCCTGCATCCTCTTGCAAACATGATTAAATCCCATTAAATCCCATAACTCCAGCGGGTGCAGAATGCTGCAGCGAGGCTCCTCACGGGGTCCCTGCCATGGGAGCATATTCACCCAGTGCTTTTCAAGCTGCACTGGCTCCCGGTGGAGTACAGGATCAGATTTAAGGTGCTGCTTTTGACCTTTAAAGCCCTTCACGGCCTAGGACCCTCGTACCTACGGGACCGCCTCTCCCGGTATGCCCCACGGAGAGCCTCAAGGTCCATAAATAGCAACACCCTAGTGGTCCCAGGCCCTAAGGAAATTAGATTGGCTTCAACCAGAGCCAGGGCCTTTTCAACACTGGCTCTGGCCTGGTGGAACGCTCTGCCTCATGAGACCAGGGCCCTGCAGGATCTGATTTCTTTCCGCAGGGCCTGCAAGACAGAGTTGTTCCGCCTGGCCTTTGGCTTGGAGCCAATTTGATTCCCTCCCTCTCTTTTTCTTTTCCTTCTCCTCCTGCGATGAGGCTACATTTTAATATTTTAATGTTTCAATATTTTAATGTTGTATTTTTAATTTTGTTTTTAAGTTGTAATCATTTAACTTGTTTTTATTATTGCTTGTAAGCCGCTTTGAGCCCGGCCTTGGCTGGGGAGGGAGGGGTATAAATAAAAATTATTATTATTATTATTATTATTATTATTATTCTGGATGGCACTTCGCTAGCACATCTTATGGTTCCATCATAATATTACATTGCTTTGTTTTTCTGTCATCGTTTTGTTTCACTGAATAAAGAAATATTATATTTCTCAACTGATGGCTATGATAAACTGCTGGGGTGAAATTGGTCTTTTAAGTAAATACATACAAACTCAAGGAGTACAGCGTCAAAATCTGTGAGTGAGGATGGAAAAGAGATTCAGAGACCACCAGTGGG